TAAAAATAAGTCAACTGTAAGGGATTACAGGTTTTTTGTGTCTCGATAACTAAATTACATCTAATTCCTTACTCCCCAAACCAGATTATTTGTTATTGTTTTTTTTTTAAATGTCAAATGTAGTGTAGCTGAATACAATATTTCCTTCTGAGTTGTCATAGAAAAAGGACGTAGTATTGTGTAAATGTACATACTCAAAGCTGCCGTAGGAATTTTTCAAATAACAAAAAGTTATTTTTTGTCATCTTTAGTTATTTTAAAGTTGTCTACTGCAGCTTTAAATCATCTTGCTCCACTCAACTCTTTAGGCAAATGCAATTATGCCCCCTTGATCTCTAAATGCAAATAGTCTTGCCCTCTATCATGCACCAGGGGCAACAGGTGCTGCAGGATTTCTATATTTAGTGAGCAATGTGAAGGCCAATTGTGGGTTAGACAACAACTGGGGCCTCTTTCTGTAAATAACTTGGGAATATTATAACCAATACATTTGGGTTGCTACTACTTTTAACTAAAGTTACCAAATATTTAGTTTATCAAATATTTATTTGTAGGAGGTGATCCACTGAATGTACACACTAAAGACAGTACATGATAAGAGTAATACTGTGATGGAAGGGTGGAACTGGCACTCTGTCAACGAGACACTGTCCCAAAGCACTGCAGGGTGTGATCTCATACACCATAAATCACAGCTACGATAATGACCATAATTGAACCAACGCCTCTCTGATATATCTGTATAATTGTAATTCTGCTGGTTTTGATTTAATTGTGTCTACACTTCAATCAATCAAAGATCAATTAAGACTCTGTAGGAAAGCAGGAAATTGGCCCTGAAAGAGACCAACATGCTAAAAGTCTGTATTTATCTAACAATGTGATTTTGCGAATCTACAGAGCAATATTAAATGTCATATTTTATTTTATCAGTAATTCTGAGAAATACATTCCCTCCCATATCAGATATAAACTTTGTTTCATTAGTATCATTGTGTTACTATGTGTTTACCCTACTACTTCATGTCGAAATGGCTGCTGTGAAAAAGGTCTGTTGCTTTTTTGGTAATGCTTTGGATCAAAGCCTGAAACATACAGTGTAATTATTTACAATTTACAGCTAAATTGTACTAGACTTGCAAGGTCACATGTGAATCCAGGGTTCAAGATATGTGCTTGTGTCTGAACCACAGCATCCTGTGAGGAACTACTGTCAGCTACAGCATGAGCTACAGACATGGTTTAATGCTAGGTGTGTGTGACGACGTGTGTGAAAAGAGAGCTTGATAACAACAATGATGGCTGCTAAAGAGGTTAGCGTAAGATGCTGCTAGCATCAGTTCTATTAGAACTTAGAACTTCATTGAAAGAAGAGCAAAGAACGGCACTGAAGGCTTTTCTTCATGGAAAAGATGTTTTCACTCTTCTCCTGACTGGCTTCAGTAAGAGTTTGACTAAGTTATATGGTTCATTGACTTGGGTGGTTGAAGTTTGCCTGTGATGGACTGTGATATACAAATCAGACTTTGACTCCGGTTTTACGTTGCTCTCAATGTACAAACACAGATTAACAGTATAAGTAAACAGAACAAGTTCAACAAAAAAAAGACATAGACTTATATGTACAGTTATACATATCTATAAACAAACGTGTAGACAATAGACAATAGAGTAGAAAAGAGTGCAAAAGATGCTGAAAAAAATGTTTTACGTGCATGGGGTAGGTGGATATAACAGTATACAGTATGCAAAGAAACATAATTTTCAGCAATTGCAACAGCAATAAAGTATTTCTATCTATCTATCTATCTATCTATCTATCTATCTATCTATCTATCTATCTATCTATCTATCTTAGACTTAACTTCTCTTTATTGATCCTT